CTGTTGTTGCTGCTGAGTCAGTTTGACATCCTGGATATATCCTTCAAACACAGACTGTACACCCCTCTGTCTGCTTCTCTCTGGAATCACTGGTTCATTTTTCAAATATATGATAATATATTTTCAGGGAGTGCAGTTAGTTACAGTGTGCTGCTAGCTCTGACAGCTTGTCTGACCATCACAAAGGGGCGGGGCTTAGCAAAAGGTCAATTACGTATGAAGGTTTTGGAGTAGATGTGATAGATTGTACTGGTTGGTTTCACTGGTCTCTCCGTGTTGTTTCAGGTGATGCTGAGCTAAGAGGCTCAGGACTGTCACACCCTGCTGGCCTGGACGACATATCTGAGGGGCGCAACGTCTCCATAGAAACAGCCAGCTTGGATGTATATGCAAAGTATGTTCTGAAGACGATCTGCCAGCAGGTGAGGATATGAGTGGAAACAGTTTGAATAATATCAAAGCAATGAAATCACCAGCCGCGGTTCACACAGTCTGTCGGTGTGAGAGAGTGAAAATGAAGGCACTGCGGTATCTAATTGATGTATCTGCAACAATATCTTTACACCAGGCAGAGCTATGGATGCATGCTGTCTGTTCATGCTCACTATAATCAGCAGGGTTGTATTTTCTGTCTGAAAGCTTTTGTGGGAACGCACGTAGAAGCAGAGATTTTATTTTTGCTCACGTAAGCGCTCCTGCTTTTCAGAGCGACTTGTAAATTCAGTAAGCCAAAGATGCATAACGCGATTGCATGAATGAGATCATTTTCTGCACCAGATGTCACTTATGCCACATAGATATGAAGGCCAGAGACAGAGCTGGCAGCCGCTCAGAGGGCTGGACATGCTCTGAGACCTCAAGAGACTTCAAACACATTTTCTCCCCTGCTCTGACATGTGCAGTTCTAACTCTGAGAAATATCCCTTGTCTTGTGTTTTTTTGCCACCCACCCACCCAGCTGAGCTGGTTTTGCATGACTCATGAGTTCATGATACTTGTACTCAAGCTTGAGGATCTCTGAAGTTGTTGACCTCTGTCATATTTCCCACTCTGCCACTTTTTCCCTTCTCCCCCTGCTTCCCCTCTTGTTCGGTCTCGCAGGAATGGGTTGGAGAGCGCTGCCTCAAGTCTCTGTCGGAGGACAGCAGTGCCCTCCAGGACCCGGTTCTGGTGAACATTCAAGCCCAACGGCTACTGCAGCTTATTTGCTATCCTCATCGCCAGCTGGACAGTGATGATGGTGACAACCCTCAGAGGCAGCGCATCAAACGCATCCTACAGGTCGAGAATACACAGACATTTGCACAGTGCTTAAAATGTACTTCAGTGTCTTTGTTCGTGCCAGAGAATCGTCTATTTTTAAGTCAATAAAGACTCTTTGGTTCAAGTAGTACATCTATTATGAGTCGGGTTTAAAAAGAAGTGGATCGGCCTTGAACTTGTTTTGTTATTCTCTCAAATATAATATCCAATACAACCTTCTATCAAATGGTCTTTATGAGTCAGAGCGGTGTGGTTTTGCTGCCCTCTCCTGGTTGAAGTAGGAGCTGAGGAAACATCTTACCAGTGCCATTAAATGTGCATACTCATAACTGGAAAAAATGTATACGACTAACAGTACTTTTTTCTCCTTTATAGAACATGGACCAATGGACAATGAGACAGTCATCCCTGGAGCTGCAGCTGATGATCAAACAGAGCACTAACAATGTAAGTTGCTGTTTTAAGTGTATCTAACAGGGATGGGCTGATTTTTTTTCATGCAGAAGTTTATATTAGGTTATATACTATTATTATTTTTTGATATTTAAGATTTCTTTGTTTACTGGGTTCAAAAGAGAGAATAAATAACAAAAACAACAACAAAATAAACCCCATCAGTATCGGCTTTTGGCCACATTGTTATTTTTAACATCTGTGTTGCCCCAGATTTTCGGTGCATCCCTACCTTTTTTTCATCCCTCTACAGTAGCGATACCTGTGGCCAGAGGGAATATGTGTAGTCTTTGTCAAATTAATCTGAATATTCCTAATTTTTTGTCCACCAGGAGCTCTACTCGCTCTTGGAGAACATAGCCAAGGCCACCATAGAGGTGTTCCAGAAATCAGCTGAGATGAACTCCAATAACCCCTCAGTGAATGGAGCAGCGGCACAAGGTGGCTCCGCATCCAACAACAACAACAGCACCACGAGCAAGATGAAGCCGATTTTAAGGTGTGGATCTTTCTATCTCCTCTAACGTCTTTCTTACACATGATCTCCTTCATCTTAGAGGCTTTGGCCTGAAACATTTGTCATCCTTTTCTTTGGTTTATTCTTCAAATTTGAATCTAACATTTCTGGTTTGCACTGTGCTGCAGCTCATCCGAGCGGTCAGGTGTGTGGCTGGTGGCTCCGTTGATCGCCAAGCTGCCCACTTCAGTGCAGGGCCATGTGCTGAAGGCAGCGGGAGAGGAGCTGGAGAAGGGACAGCACCTGGGCTCCTCCTCACGCAAGGAGAGGGACAGGCAGAAGCAGAAAAGGTAAGTGGCATGTTTCTTATATTCTGGAATAAATCAGATTTAATCTGGTCGTGCTACAAGGTGAAAATCCTTTGCTAGTGTCTGACAAACTGTGTGTTAGAATGGATATTTTCACTCTGTGTCACTCACACAGGCTATGGAAGCCAGAAAAACAAAATCAGCCAGCCATCTGAAAATGATTTCCTCTTCATTAAATTTCTTCTCTCCTCAGTATGTCTCTGCTGAGCCAGCAGCCATTCTTGTCTTTGGTGCTGACCTGCCTTAAGGGGCAGGATGAACAGAGGGAAGGCCTTCTCACCTCCCTCTACAGCCAAGTGCAGCAGATTGTCACCAACTGGAGAGAAGACCAGTACCAGGACGACTGCAAGGCGAAGCAAATGATGCACGAGGCTCTGAAACTACGACTGAATCTTGTAAGGACTTCAATCACAATAGATTTACAGTACAACATCACTGACTACATGAAGTCAGTCTATAATTTGTGCATGTTGACTTTTAGTTCCAGTTTTTATCATTGAGAACCAGCTCTACACTGGGATATTGTTTAAGACCAGAAATGGGTTGTCCAAAATATTATTTTAATGCAGATTTTAAAGTACAGATCTGTTGGGTTACTTCACAGCAAAGTAGCAGTTAAGCTAAGGACGGGTGATTCGGTGGTTGCCTGGCAACATAAAATAGAAGACACAGCAAACTGCAAAACCTGCTCTGTCTGACTGGGGCCTAACTGTATTTTTCTTCTCCTAACAAGGTGGGTGGCATGTTTGACACGGTGCAGCGCAGCACCCAGCAGACCACTGAGTGGGCGGTACTACTCCTCGACATCATCAGCAGCGGCACGGTGGACATGCAGTCCAATAAGTGAGTGTAGCCCGAAGAGGAAACTGCGATCCACACATTATTCCTCTAATTGGACACTTCAGTTGTTATCTCTAAGCACAAGCTCTGTTGCCAGTACAACTATCAGTCACTTGATCTGCCCGGCTCTTATGTTTGCTTCTCTCCAACAGCGAGCTCTTCACAACAGTTTTGGACATGTTGAGTGTGCTGATTAACGGCACGCTGGCTGCTGACATGTCCAGTATCTCTCAGGGCAGCATGGAGGAGAATAAAAGAGCGTATATGAACCTGGTGAAGAAGCTCAGGGTAAGTACAGCACATTTCTCTTACTCTGCTGAGTCTGAAGATGGGCTCCTACTTCTAAGATGTATTATTTTCTCTAGCCTCATGTAATGGATGTCAGCTTGGTTTTGTTGTGTCGTAAAGTCAAGGACCGTTAGCCTCTTAGTCATTTCTTTGAAGTCAGAAAAGGTCACCTAGAAATGTAACAGACCACAAGGGTAACAAAATAAAGTGAGAGCACCTTCACCTAGTGCACAAAAGGCTTTCACACCTCCAAAACAGAAACAGCCAAGGTTTATTTTAACTACATCTGTCTTCAGTAGCTGATTACTAAGATTGTAAATAGTTGTGCTGATGTAAGAGTGAGGCAACAACTTCTCTTTTTCACTTATCAGAAACATTTTCATGAAACACTGTGTACCCATTTTATTTCCGCAGAAAGAGCTCGGGGATCGGCAGTCGGAAAGTTTGGAAAAGGTCCGCCAGCTTCTGCCACTGCCCAAGCAAACCCGGGATGTCATAACCTGTGAACCTCAGGGCTCACTGATAGACACGAAGGGTAACAAGATCGCTGGATTTGAGAAGGAGGTACGTGGTGTCTCACGCGCTGATGTAACTCAGCATCCACCTGCAAAGTTGCACACAGTTCAGTAGGACTTGTATCGTTATATTTAGTTGTATGACAGGTTGTTTATCACTTGGCCTGTCACGGTAATAATATTAATGGACTTATTGTACGAGATATGGACATGACCTTGATCATTTTGCAATTACGTTTACATAGGATTGTCACCAACATTTTAGCCAGGATGAACAACAGGGTTCCCATCCCAGACTTGGGCTCAGCAATTCTTCCTCTCTGTTTGTCTCCATCCTCACCTACTTGTGTGAATCCAACAAAAAATGAAAACAACACTTCAAAGAGGATGCAGCAAAGCTTACCTGTAGCCTGCAGTCACACTTTTTGAGTGAAAGAGGCATAATCCATATAGTTGTTAGCTTGCCAACCCCCGGCAAGGAGCCAAAAAGTCTTTCATTTGTAGTTTCACCCTCCAACAACTTCATCCTCCACTCCGTTAATCCACCAGCAGACTGCCTGGCTCCCAGGCCGTCCATCCCTGGGAGCAGAGTGCAGCACACATTCCAGATTGTGGAGGTAACTGCGGTGTCCTTGGAGCTTCGCTAAGCTTGTTCATTAGTTGCAAGAGGCATCACTTGGTTTTGTTGGCCAGACTTTGTATTAATTAATTTTGGGCTACTCCTTTCAAGGTACTATAATTTTATACATACCATCTTGTATATTAAATTAACAGATGTCAATTACTTTCTTTAAAATGTGTTCATCATATTTCAATTCCAGTGTCTGAATTCTTAAGGAAAAGTTCATTGCTTTTTGAAAGGGTGTACTTGCATTATTATGCTGTAATATCTGCACACGCTGATCTTAAGTTAAATCAGAGTGCTGTGTCTCTGTGCCATCAGGGCCTTCAAGTATCAACCAAACAGAAGATTTCTCCCTGGGATGTCTTTGAGGGTCTCAAACACTCGGCCCCTCTCTCCTGGGGCTGGTTTGGTACGGTGCGCGTGGACCGCAAGGTCACCAAATTCGAAGAGCAGCAGCGTTTCCTTCTCTACCACACCCACCTGAAGCCCAAACCTCGTAGCTATTACCTGGAGCCGCTGCCCCTGCCCCCTGAAGAGGAGGAGCCCCTGACTCCCGTCTCCCACGAACAAGAGAAGAAGATGATCGAGCCGGTGAAGCCGGAGAAGAGCGTGCCCACCGTGCCCACTGACTCAAACAAGAAGAAGTCCAACAAGAAGAAGAAAACTCCAGCAAAGACAGAGGTCAGTCATGTCTGTCATTTATGATATTAGGATAATATTTTACTGACCTTATTTCCTGGACGCAAGTTGCTACAGACAGATTTTAAAAGTTTGGTTTTTCCTCTCTTTCTCATTAGGACTATGTGAACCGTACACCAGGCAGTGTGACCTATGGGACTAATATGCCTCCTGACCTGATGCAGAACCACCCATATGGCAGGCTACCTTACAGCCAGCAGACCATGAGCATGTACACACAGAACCAGCCTCTACCTCCAGGTCAGTCCATGGCGCGCTCTCTCATCATTATCGTCTTCATCAGTAGGAGTATGACACACTGGTTTCCTTTGGTTGAAACAACATCCATCTCACACACTCTCTGAATATGGTCTTTGTGATTTGTGTTTCCACAGGAGGTCCAGGTTTAGAACCTCCATACAGACCTGTGCGCAACCCACCGATGAACAAAATGATGCCCACTCGGCCCAACTACCCAGGCATGATGCCGGGTATGCAGGGGAGCATGCCGGGCATGATGGGACTGGACAAGCAATACCCAATGGGTTATAAGCCCCAGCCTACCATGCCACAGGGCCAGATACTGCGGCAGCAGCTACAGGTCAGACTGGTGAGTCAGTCCACACTGAGAAGCAGGAGCTATAAAGATGGAGCAGAGTTGGGACAGTTGATTCTGTTCCAAGTACCAGGAATCCCTCTACTCTCGGCACAGAACATTGAATCGTAACTATTTACTGACTTGTTGTCTCTCTTTTCAGAATCAGAGCATGATAGGGCAGCAGATAAGACAAATAACACCTAACCAACCGTATACGTCAATGCAGGCATCTCAGGTAAGTCTATTTTTGTTGCTTTTGTTTTGCCATGAAATGCATTTGTCATCGGACACCTCTATTCTCAGAAAACATATGTTATCTGACACCTTTATTTATACACTGTAATGCTCTAGAATTTAAAAAGCTGTTGAAACAGGATTCTGTTCATCATGTCCCCATCAGTGTTCGCGAACCACACAGAAATATCTTTGTCTTGTTTGGGTTTACTAAATAAATCCTGACTCTGACACTATCAATAAATCAACAATAGTCTCCTTCTCTGTCTTGGTTTTAATCATGAACATTGTCTGTTTGTGCAGAACATATCTCAGGGCTATACCACATACGGATCACACATGGGGATGCAGCAGCATCCGTCCCAAGGTGGTGGTATAGTTCCTCCCTCCTATGGGAACCAGAACTTCCAGGGCACCCATCCTGGAACCAACCCATCTGTGGTGGATCCTCTTCGGCAAATGCAGCAAAGGCCCAGTGGTTACGTTCACCAGCAGGCTCCAGGCTACGCACACAATATGCAGAACACACAGAGGTCAGTGTTGTGCTGCAAGGAAGGCTGCATTACATTATAAGGTTTGCGTCTTTGCTAACCACATGTCTTCTTCCTGTTCTGTAACCCTCAGGTTTGCCCACCAGCCCATCCAGCAGAATGCCATCATGCACAGTCTCAGTCACATGGGAGCCCAAGGCGTCCATCCCGGCCTGAGGCCCAATCAGATGCTGGCAGAACAACAGCAGCAGCAGCAGCAGCAGCAGCAACAGCAGCAGCAGCAGCAGCAGCAGCAGCAGTACCTCAGACAACAAGCACTCAGAGTACGTCACTTTATCAAAAGTTTATCCAGGTCTTCAGCTATGTTTTGGCTGAGTTTATAGAGTTTTTCCCAGTAGAAATTATTATATTTAAGAGTGCTTTGATAAAATACAAAATGACAGTGTGCTCCCCAAACAATAACCATCATATCTTTCTGACGTTATCACAACAGCAGCAGCAGGCCCAACAAGTTCAACAACAGCAGCAGCAACAACAACAACAGCAGCAGCAACAACAACAGGTCCAGCCCCAGCAGGTTCCTCCTCAACAACAAGTTCCACAGCAGCAGCAGCAGCAGCAGCAGGTGTCAGCGGTGCCGCCACCAGGACAGCAACAGAACCAGGGCCTGGGCATGCAGCCGCTGCCCCCACAGCAACCCATGGTAAGTCCAGTCTAGGTGACAGGGACCGCCATTAGTCCAGGTGCTAGTATGATAAAAGCTCAAGATGTGTTTTACTATACAGACTTTAATTATCTGTCACTATTATTGTAGACGTGTTAATCTATGCTTTACAATGAAATGTAATGCTAGTAGTTTTGCATGTTTTACCCAATTAAATGTGTGTGCATCACTGTGTACTTTTTTAAGCTAAAGTTTCCACTGAGGAAAATGGTTTTAATCTTACACAAATAATCGGGAGGTCTGCATCGCTACGACGTGTAGTTACATTTCTGGGGAGGTGCATGTCAGGCAATGGCGTAGGCTCCGGCGTTGACGCAGAAGTATAAATCCCGCTTTATATCGACTGTTTTGGGATCATTTTGGTAGCTTCCTGTTGGTGCGTTCAAGACATTCTGACACCCAGAAATGAAAGTTTGAAAGTCATCATGTATTGCTTGTAAATGGGATGTTTTTCTGGTGGCCAGTTCTTAAAATTGCAGACATTGTTGCCTCCTTAAATGGCCCATTAGAAGTTTGGTGAAAACTCTGCATGAATACTGATAGCGTTTTAAAATGAATCAACATCACTGGTTGCCTAAAATGTCAGGGACTGATCTGGTATGCGCTTTGCAAAATGACTGTTAGTAATGTTACATATATGCGATGTATAAAACATCAGAAATTGCTTTAATGACGATGTATGTCTGTGTTTTAGTTCCCACGCCAGGGAATGCAACAGACTCAACAGCAGCAGCAGACTGCAGCTCTGGTCAGACAGCTGCAACAACAACTTTCAAGTGAGTCACAAACTTTGAAATGTCATTTCTGCCCCATCATTGTGCTGTCATTATTTCCATCTCTTTGTAATGATGCACAGATTTCGTGTTTATAATAAAACTTTCCCACTCTTTTCAGATACACAACCAGGACAGGGCACCAACTCATATTACTGATCGTGCTTGTTCTTAGTAGTGTGTGAAGAATAGTCCCCTCGTTATGTGGCGAGGCCCAGCTCTGTAGATTGGCAGATGAATGTGTCCAGTCCCGTGTAGGCCGATAGGAGGGGAGACTGTTCTAGGCACAAAGGACCACCAAACCGATGAACCAAATTCCATCTCGACCACTGAGGCGACGATCAGAAAATATCTTGACTTCAGTCCTGTAATTATGGATTATCGAAGAAGAGGGATCCTGCTCTGAAGTAAACAGATAATGGTTAATAATGGAAAAGTCTATGTAAAAAAGTACCAGAAATTATAAGAATAATGCAATTTTTTTTATTTTATTTCAATTTGTACAATTTTTTCAGTTTCGTGTATTTCTCATTAAAAAAATCATGTCAGTTTTTATGTCTTGTACTTGTGTTGGCTGCTTGTATACTGTATTTTAAAAGTGTCAATGAAATTATTCAATGATGAAGTGGGGATCAAAGGATTTGTTCTATCAGACAAGTTTGCTGTCATCCGAAAAAAAATAAGTCAGTGTTAAAGGTTTGGTGTGTGGCAGAAATGAAATACAATATTCCGAACTATGTTTTTATCAGTATACAATCACCGGAAGCTAAGAAGAGTGTCATCATTACCTTAGAATGAGCTATTTGTATCTACATATGGAGCGGGTCCTCTCCTACGGAGTCCTCCATGTTGTTTCTACAGTAGCCCAGAACAGACAAACCAAACACTGGCTCCAGATAGGGCCATTTGCATGTTTGTGTTGGCCATCATAGTTCTTCAACATGCTTGGCACATGGGAGAAGTTTCAGTTGGTTGCAGTCTGCGACCTCACCACTAGATGCCACTAAATCCTGCACACGAGAGTAACTAGTCTGACTCGCAGGATGTAGACTGCGTGTAAAGTCCGCCATTGGCTCCCTATTTGAGATGGAATTCTTCTCCCTTTCCATCACCTGTTTGTCTGTTTTTAAATTCCCCATTGCTATGTAAAACTAGTCTTACATAGCCATTCCTATCTCCACGCTTGTTGTATTGCTGTGCATAAAACAACAATTTTCAAGCTAGCAACCTACATGCGAAACACCTTTTAATGTTCTTTTGTTAAACTTTAATTTTTCAAACATTCAATTAACAAAACATTGGAGGGGGGACCACTGCCTTCGTTTACAACTTTTTGATAAATGTCTTCAGACCACCTGACTAAACAATGCCTCATTTCTCTTATAGTCTGTCACTTTATTCCAGCGCTGCACACGTGTCCTTGCTTTAGTCCTCAGGTGAAAGGTCAGGTATTTTCCCCATGGAATATAGTTCCTCTACAATGTCCATCCATTGTCTTGGAGTTGGAGGGTCATGTGTCCTAGTGCTGGCCTTTTTGCATGCCAGTATACAGATTTTGAACAGATAAGCATCCTTTTAATGAATAACGTCCTGTTATTAATCCCAAGTACACAATCCGTGGGTCCCTTTGGATCTTGTAACCTAAAACTCTCAAGAATCAGAATAATCCCATCCCATAATGTTTGTAGTTCATACATAACCAAAATATATGTGAGTGATTGGCATTTGCCTGGCCACAGAGTCTCCAGCAGTGCTGTTGTTTCCCTGATTGTTTGATTTTGTATATGGTGTGAAAAAAAAATCTATTCTTTCAGCCAAATTCTCTCCATCTTTTGGAGCTGGTGGAGGTTTGCAGATCAGTAATCAGTTCTACTTCCCATTTCAGTTTCACATGCAAAGTATTCCCTCCATTACATTTTTGTAAACTCTGGAGACTGTTTTGGAGGGGGTAAGTTTGTATGCACCTGTCAATACTTTTATTACATCATTGCATCTTTTAATATTTTACGTGGTGCTATCTTAATCCTATTGATTTGCCTCCCAGTGTTCGTCCAAAAAAAGTTTGCTTCTGTCACTGTTGTTCATCCTGGGCATGGTGCTGTTAGGATTAGTTTTAAGTGTACGAAGAATTATGATACCGTTAAAACAAAGCAAGAAAATAGGTCTGGCTATGTGAGACAAGTTTAAAGTGACATGGTCAAAGTCTCGTGATTCTAAATTATGGCAACTATTACATCTCCTGTTGAGATGATTAATTGGCCATTAATTGATTCCAATTCAAATGACGGTGTTCGTGGGCTTTTCCTGCTATGATGTGATGTCATCAGACTTAACTCACTAATCGAATTGTTAAAGGTTCAGTGTGTAGGATTTAGGGGGATTTATTGGCAGAAATTGAATATAATATTCCTAATTCTGTTTTCTTTAGTGTATAATCACTTGAAACTAAGAATTGTTTTCATCACCTTCGAGAGAGACGTATATCAACATATGGAGCAGGTCCTCTTTCATGGGGTGAGCCATGTTGTTTTAATAGTAACCCAGAATGGACAAATCAAACACTGGCTCTAGATTGGGTCATTTGCATCAGCCAACACAGTTGCACACGCTTGGCACATGGAAGGTTTCAGTTGATTGCAATTTGCACCGTCACCACTAGATGCCACTAAATCCTACACACTAGACCTTTGACGATATAGGGCCCCTGACAGTTGACAGGAAAATAAAAGGGAGGGTGTGGGAGATATTGATGAAGCAGAGTTGTTACCATCTAACAGATCTTGAGAAGATGAAGTGAAAACAGCCACAATAGTTTTTATTTCTTTATTGACTGAAGTGGTGAACAGGGAATTATATAAAACAATCCCTCATGTCTAGTTTGCTGCCTTCTTTGTTTTTGTAGGTTTCTGTTTATCTGCCTTCTCACTTTCCAAGCGACTAAAAAGCACACCAGAGTCAGATCCTAGTGCTCTCCCCTCAAAGGGACAGTCCATTCCCTGATACCTCGGCAGGAAGTTCACGTCTGCCCAGCTCCTCTCGCCTGGTTGCACCCCAAGTCTGGACAGCAGCTTGTTAGAAATCTCTGGCACTATTGGCTGGAGGAGTGTGCCATAAATCCTCAGGCATTCGAGGGAGACATGGATGATGGTGTCCAACCAGCGCTGGTCTTTACTGTCCGATCTGTCCAGCTTCCAAGGTGCATGACGCTGAACGAACCCGTTGGTGAGCCTCACAGAGGCACTGATGGCCTCCAGAGCTTTGTACACATGCATGCTCTCATAGTGCTGCTCCACCACAGTGGGGAGATTTTTCACAGCATCCAACATGTGGTAGTCTTCAACCACAGCCCTGCCTCCCTGTTCCCTTCCGAACGACTGAGGGCAGAAAAGGGGATAGACCTGAGCTGGGTTAAGAGCTGGAGCTGTGCAGCGGTTCAGCAGACCACCCAGAGAGTCAGCGAGCTCTGCGTTGAGCAGCTTGATAACTTTGTTGTCTGTGTAATCACAGTCTGAGTCTGGGACACCCTGACGCAGAAGAAAATACCTCATACCATCAGTTGTGAACATCTGTGAGCGTTCAAGAGGATCTACAACATTACCTAAACTCTTAGACATCTTCTTTCCTCCTACTGTCCAGTGGGAGTGCACATGTATCGTCTGTGGCAGCGGCAGTCCGGCCCCTAGAAGAAAAGCAGGCCAGTAGATGGCATGAAATTTTAAAATGTCCTTTCCGACAATGTGGTGGGCCACGTTCCACCACTGGTCATGTTTATCTGGATAGCCAGCTACTGTGAGGTAGTTCACCAGAGCATCTAGCCACACATAGATGGTCTGTTCATTGTCGCCTGGCACCGGGATGCCCCACTGGAGGCGGCTTCTCTGCCGGGAGACAGAGAGGTCAGGGAGGTCCTCCTGCAGCCAATGGAGGACAGACTGGTAGAAATGCTCAGGCTGTACGGCCCTGGGATTCTCTCTGAGCCAGTCAAGCAGCTGAGGCCGAAACGCAGACAGACGGAACATGTAGTTCTCCTCTTTCATCCACTCCACCTGTAAAACAGTAGAGATGTGACTGAAGTTAGTCCCTAAAAGCAACAAAAAACACAAGGTTCTACATTTACCATGATGCAACTCAATGGCACCCTCCCTGCCTGGTAACCGCTCATGCCTTTTAAAGTGTACACTCATTCATCTCCACTAAATCACACTTGTGCTATCATCCTAATGTTCGCTCAAATTACCTTGTGGCCACTCTCCTGCGATACCTTGATCTCCGTCCCTTGAGAGTCCAAAGCATCGGCCACCTGCGATGCCGTGAGGAAGCTTTCATCTTGGGTGGAGTACCAGCCTTCATAACTCCCCTTATAGATGAGCCCTTTGTTCCTGAGTACTGACCAGAAATGCTCCACAGCATGACGGTGTCTCTGCTCAGTGGTTCTTATGTAGTCTGTATATGATATGTTGCAGCTGCCGAAGAGATGTTTGAATTTCTCAGACACATCGGTACAGAAGGTCAGGGGATCTTTTCCCGCAGCTTCAGCAGCTTGTTGGATTTTCAAGCCATGTTCGTCTGTACCTGAGATGCAAGATAATAGGGTGTATTATTATTATTTGCTTAGTATTTTGATTTATTGTCTATAAAATGGCAAAATTTGATAAAAGTGACCATTAAAATTCTTTGTTTTGTATGACTAATAGTCCAAAAACTAGAGGTATTGACTTTACAATGATATAAAAGAGAAGAAACAGTAATTCTCATCTGTGAAAAGCTGGAACTATCAAAAGTTTTGCTTGAAAAATGACTTTACTGACTATGAAACTTGTTTCCAATTGTCCGTCAATCTCTTTGGTTCTATTAGGAATGTCATATTTACACACATATTATAATTGCTGTGCACCGATTCATAATATAAGCTTTACAATGACTGTAATATACAAAAGAAAACAACCCTCAACAGCACCAACTGTTACATATATTTTGGTCAATGGAGGATTTACCTGTTGCAAACTTTGAGTTGAAGCCCTGCAGCAGCTTGTACCTGTGTAAGCAGTCGGCTATCACAGCTGAATACAGGTGTCCTAAATGAGGAGAAGCGTTGACATAGAAGATGGGAGTGGTTATGTAGTAGCTCCTGTCGTCTTTGCAGAAGTGGGTGCTCGTGTATTTCAACGCAGAGATCCTCTGGTGTCTCGACAGAGCTGAAACCGGTGAGAAAAATGGGTTTTGTTGCAGCCTGTGAACAGCCTGACAGCTTCTGGTGACAAACAGAAAAGGGGTCCTCATCATTGGAGAGAAGGGGACGTCCACATGAAGTCTACCGAAGATATTTGAGTCCAAGGAGTGCAGTAAAGTCAAGTGTTAGCCATTGATTTAGCTAGCTAAAAGACAAGAGTTTTCGTACACTAAAATATCAGCAGAGAACCGTAATCACTGTCGGTAAAATACTGAAAGATCCTATAGTCGTCCTGGTAAATATGATCGATTAAATTGGCATTATCGTTTAATCTAAAGCTTAATTAATAACCTAGCAGCACGTGTGTTTTGCTCGCATATCAAGGTTAGCGCTGCTTCCGGTTTCTGAAGACAACAAATAATTCGGCCAATCAAAACGCGGCATGGTGCGTGACGAATACCAACAACCAATCAGATTACGAGGGCTCTCTTTGCAACGCTATACGGAAGTTGTCAGTTTTATTTACTTCTTCAGATGTGATAAATAACTTGACATGAAGTTTAAAATTAGTCAAGCATCATTTTTACGGTAGAAGCCGGTGAATGGATATATGGGGAGTGTTTTCTTTTTTTTTTTTTAAATAACTTTATTGGAATAGTAAGGAGCAGCAGAACAAGAGAGTGAGACAGAACAAGGCAGGGTAAATTAATTATGACAACATGTAAGTCACATGTGCTTCGTGATGTCTTCCTGAGAAGTGTCAATTTGTGTTTTCCTGTTTCAGACATTAAGTGTGCACACATTTTTTTTTTTTTTTTAGCCCGAAGCAGGAAATATTGTCATTCTTGATGCCACAGGAGTAACATTTTACATATTTACCATGGTTAGAAGCATATACAAAATAAAATCCTGGATAGTAGGGTGCTATCTGCATTAGGTGATACATTCAGTGGCAGATTGTAATCAGTGTTGGGGAGTAACTACTTATATGTAATGGCATTATGTAATGTAAAATACAAAATGAAGTAACTGTAATCTATCACAGTTACTGAGAAGAAAAATGTGTGATTCAGTTACAGGTTCTAATCGAAATGTTGGTGATTAGATGGGTTACATCCAAATATAATAATAATAATAATCTTTTCAGTTAAAAGCTTATAAGTAGAATAAAAGATAAAATCTGTTGCTATGTATATTTTCTTTGTGCAGGATTGCCCTCCTCTGGTATAGGCCCATTTCTGGACGACAAGGGTCAACAAAGTGTTGGGACGCTGCCTGGTTGAAATATTTGTTCTTAGGTCTTTTCAGCTTTATTGCCCAGTTTAAGACGTTTGATCCAGTGTAATAAGTTACATTACTTTGAAGTAATGTAAATAAAAATAATTAAATTACTGATTACATTTTTAACAGGGAAACGTGACCTACCCAGCACTGGTTTCACTGCAGCCTAAAAATGTGTATTACCCTACACTTATGTTGGGAAAGAAGAAACTAATCCATATTCACCAAGGTTATTAGTTATGATCCACAGTTCATACAAAATAATATACAAGATGGTCGGGCATCATCTGTGCATTATAGACAGGGATACATTTTGTGGCAGCTTGAATTGCAGTCTGAAAGAATGTTGTCCCCAATAACTTTTGCTTTGAAGATAGACACTTCTCCACATTCACCAAGGTTGTTAGCGATGATCTGGAGTGTATACAAAATAAAATACTTGATGTTCGGGCGTAGTAGAAAAGTAATATGTTTGTAGCATGTTGAAAATGTCAGGAAAGAAGACACTTTTCCATACTTTTACACATTCAATGTTGTTTTCAGGTCAAATTAATCAAAATCTAATTAATAGGCTAACAGGAGGAGATGTAGTAGCAACATACTTTGACAGGACCGGAAGAAAGCCTCCTCCCTCCTTGCGGTTTCCTAGGCAACTACCCGGAAGTACCGTCATTTCACTACGACGAATGGGGTTGACGTGACAACGGAGGTAAAACATTTTAGAAACTGTAAGTTTAAGCGGCAGTTGAACAGTGTTTTAAACTTAACTAAACCCAAATTAAGTTGGATAAGTCGTTCATTTTTCATTTCTTAGTATTTTTAACCGTCTACAAGGCGAGTTTTAACGTCGTGTCATCAGGGAGTCAGCCAATCATGTGATGTTAAACATGGGGTGCCTGTTGCTCAACTAATGACAAGTTCCCGAAGTATTCGTGTCTTATAGAAGTTCAGTTATTTAGCTAAACACATGTCGGGACTTTACTTTGTGTGATAACGTCATTTCAGATGGAAGTGAACCGTTTGGACTTCTACATCGGCCTCTCTCTGGCGGTGAGCTCGAGCGTCTTCATCGGTGCCAGTTTCATCCTGAAGAAGAAAGGCCTGCTGCGATTGGCCAGCAAGGGTTCAATGCGAGCAGGTACGGTGAGCTTTATCAAAACGAAACTTAAATTTACCTGTTTATTAAAAGGTCAGTGCTGGGAGAAATGGTAACTTAGTAAGTTAACTACATTGTATACAATGTGGAAGCTTCATGATTAAAAGATTAAAATAAACACGTAGTATTAAAAGTAAAAGTACACATTATGTAGGAGAACTGTGGAATATATTCTCGATTAATCGATTCATTGTTTGGCTACAGTCAAGACACAATCGCATAAGAACAAAAACAAGCAACAAACCTTACCTTTTAGAGGCAGGGACTGGTTATGTTTCACTTTTATGATTTGAAAAATGACTCAAACTATTAATGGATTACTAATTGAGTAATCATTGTAGCTCTATCTTTATGTATTACAATATATAAGTGATGTGTTACTGCGTAAGCAACAGTTTCCTGTTGTACCTGGAACTTATTTCAGCTCCTTTTTATATATTGTTGGATAGTTTAATCTATAACATTGCATCATGTTTTATAAGATAGTCACATGATTTGTGTGTATATCTGTACAGTATCTGTACTGTAGCTTTAGCTATATCCCTCCTTGATGATATGGAGTAAAAGATAAGGGCACTTTATAGGTACAGAATAACTTGGAGGGAAGGTATGTCTTGATGGACTCATGAATATTAGAATAAAACGCTATAGCACACGCTATATTACAAGGTCTGTGTAAACGTAACATTTAAGTCCAATAAGACTCTAAACATGCTGTTATTAGGATGATTGAAGTTTTGATATGAAGTGTGTTAAACAAGCCAATGGCCCTCTAACCTACATTTAAGTATTTTAAGTGAGAAACCTGTACCTGTTACTACGACATGTACTCCAGTTTTGTTTTCTGTATGTCACAGGTCAAGGGGGGTATGCTTACCTGAAAGAATGGCTGTGGTGGGCAGGACTTATTTCAAGTAAGTAAACGATCTTCACACTTAGTTCTGGAAAATGGTTGACATGGTCAGCTGTTTCTTTTCTCACTTGGTGACACTCCTCACCAGCCGTGCCTAGAAACATTGTGGTCTTTGTTTTTCCAAGTGGAAATGAGGCTCTTGTGGGTTTGGTATTTTTTACTGGTGACGCTGCAGTTGATGCAGAACCCACACCATATCTTTGAAGTGCACATTCCTCAAAGAGCACATTTGCACATGTGGGTTTGAAGAGAATAATTTTTTAACCTTTAACCAGCTGCACCAGTTGTGACTATGTGTACACTGATGGTCGTGTTTGTGTTCTAGTGGGAACCGGAGAGGCTGCTAACTTCGCTGCTTATGCATTTGCGCCGGCCACACTGGTGACTCCTCTTGGAGCACTGAGTGTACTTGTAAGGTAATTGCCTTGAGTTTTATTTTTTGCAGTTTTTCATGCCACAGATGTTTTCACGACTTTTGCTTAGTTTGATACAGATACTCCCAGTCATCTCAATGTTATGTCTTACTGTCAATAAATCTTGTAAAGAGACCAAATGTATAAATGGATTGAGCCCACTAACTAAGTCAGTGTCTGTATAGCCAAAGCCTATTATAGCTATTCCTGTATATTGTAGACCTCCAGTATCATCCATAACCTAAGTAATATGCATTATGGAGCCACATTGTCACACAGGGTCACATGTTCCCTTCTTACCAAGAACATGGGTACTGGTAGCTTATTTTGAGTCAGTTCCATGTACACCATTCTGGTCATGTAAATACTCACAACTGCAGTGGTTTCCAATCTTTTTGACTTGTGAACCCTGTAAACTAAAGTAGTCACTACGTTTACATGCATGCAGTAGTCGTGCAAAGCTCATAGCTCAGCTCATCAGTCAAGTTGGACTTCTCATCTTGTCTGAGTTTACATGCAGAAGAGAAAATTGAATTTCTGACCAAGTACGGCTGATAGGCGTGCTGTGTCCTTTTTAATATAGTGCGTAATGAACCAGTTCCGGTTGACCCACAGAGGAAGCAAACGACGAATGAGGATGGCAGAGATGGATGGAGTTTCCTCGTCTGACCAGAAGTGCGTCTTCTGCTTCTCGGTCGCCATGGTGTTTGTTTTTCCGAGAGTTACTGCACTGTTATATACTGAACTGCTGCTACGTCATCTCCTTCTTCTTCCGGGTGAAAGCCCGCGAAAGAAAAAGTGGTGCATGCGCAGAATGCAGAGTCCGATTCCAGTCGGACTAAGTGGATACATGCAGCAATAGTTTGATTTTCAGTCGAATTATCTAGGTGTGTTAGTCGAGGTACCGATAGTCCAGTTTCAGTTGGACTGAGCCAATAATTCGTTCTTCTCAAGCTGCATGTAAATGTACTGAATGTCTCCTTGTGACCCCTCATCACAGGTTTTTGCCTTAGTGTTGGTGTGATTTGTGACCAGTTCAAACCAGTTTTTTCCCTTTCAAACTAAGCAAAAAGCATATAATAGTCAATAAAATAAATCTAGTTTTGTGTAACAACATTTTCCCTATTCCTCCTATTCACCTGGTGACCCTTTAGATGTAGCTTGGGACCCGCAGGTTGGAAACCACTGCACTGGAGCACTAAATCTGCAATAGAAAATAGTCTAACTATGATATTTACTCCTGTTTGAGCAATCTATGCTAAATGCTACAGTGCCCAGCTGTGTAAGGGAATAATGTAGCCAGTTTAAAACATTTAAAATTAAAGTATATGTTTTAAACTTAACTCATTGTTAAAGACTTACCTCTTCTTTAAGAAAAATAGATTTCTGGCTGAGAGCCAGAGAAGTGGAAATCATAATTACTGAGATGCTGGCTAATGCATTACTGGTTTTGGTCTTTTCACGAGATATGATAACAATGGAAATATAGAATGTTACCAGATTAACCCTTTTAATATGCAGTAGCAACATTTGTGTTCACTCTCTGAGTTTGCAACATTTGTTTTTCCCCCTAGTGCTGTGCTCTCCTCTTACTTTCTGAACGAGAGGCTGAATGTGCACGGGAAGATCGGT